CATGTATAACAATGTCGTGGTTTGAGATCCGGGAAGTGTTGTGATTCGCGCCAAAATAAATCCATAAAACTACCAATCTCTCCATCAGTCCAAACGGGCGGAAGCTGCTAGAGCTGAAGGTCCTGCTTTTCTAGGCATAACATGCGTATTCTTCTGTCAGATCGGTCATCTCGTTTTTTAACTCATCTTTAGCGCTGCAAGCAAATCTCATGTCTCCATGATCCTATCCATATCCAGTTTGGTTCCTTGATCTCTTAACAAGTCAGGCTGAACTCTTCATTTCTCAGGCTAACAACTGTGGATTGTCCTAATAGTCCAATTGTCCTTGCATTTGATTGGCACATATTATTAGATATGTCGAGCAAAGTGGGGATTCGGACCACCCTCTATGTTATACTCACTATGAAAGAAAGTGTCACACCTTTGAGCAGCATTTTAGGAAAGAGAACTCAAAACAACTGTAGCAGGTAGCCCATTCTCAATTCATGGAGCATTTTGCTAGGATAATGCATCCCCTTAAAAGTGGTTCTCAAACAATCTGTTTCTCGCGAAAAGTTGTACGGTTTCTGATAGAAAGTTTCGTGTAGCATCCAATCACGGCGAAAAGTATACAGGTGATCCCACAGATGGGGCTGAAAAGCCCCTGATAGCGCGCCCCTTGATTATGACAATATCGTACACAATTTAAAATCGCTCGCTCAGTGGTCAAGCTCTTCGAAGCTTGAGAACCGTAAAGAAAAGAGGGATAAAGATGTTTACTTGCATACGTGATTTATTTCCTTGACTGCTGGCTTGTTTGGACAGAATATTGGTTTCTGGTGTGTGATGCCATTTTGTTAATGATTCTTATATTGGCTTCATTCGAACAACTGAAGAATGTAGATCCGTGACCGTGGTTCGAGCCCCTGAAAGGACAGTCACGCTGATCGTACGGGCTGAGTCAATCCCTACGATTGTGCCTACCTCATTGGCGTGTGACACTCTTTCACCTTCCGTGGGTGAATGCCCCTTATTCTGCGTACATCTGATTCATTCGATTATGCATTTTCAGATTCTGGCCGTGTCCATCTGAATCTTCAGCAACCGACTTTCTCGAGGATATTCGAGAGACATGTCATCAAATGAACTCATACAACAGGGTTTGACACAGCAATATTGTGTTGAGGTGAGGAAGCATTCAACCTTACCATCAAAGTAGAATTCGCATCCATTCCACAGATGATTTACTCAAACCCTCAGAGTTTTCTTTTTCTTTACCTCACGATGCTGGTAGCATTTTCGTGCACTTTGCAATCCTACTTGATATTACGTAACGTGCTGATTCCA